GCAAAATATCATTTGTTTATAATGTAAATCTATATGAAGTGTGGAGTATTGATACAATAAACTCTAATCTTATTTACTTATGATAAAAGACTTCCAACTTCACCATGCCTTTTCATACCTTTTCACATTACAAGTTGAATACACTGCATATGTGTTGAAACCCAAAGTATAGCTTTGCATACTCCGCTACTTCATCGCTCATCATTAAAACATGGCGGTCGAAATGTACTTCACTCTTGCAGCCCGATAACGCCTGCAAGAAACACCGAATAATGGATGTTTATGCCAACCAAAAAGTTAACTCGAGAACAGATTTGTCCCAAAAAGTGCCAATCAATACGCCATGTGCAAATTAAAATATGTGTGCAACGTCTCGATGGATGATTTATTTGGGGGCACAACCATTGTTGTTATATGTGACAACTTGTCACATATAGCAACCACTTCAAAACCAACAAAGTAATGAGAAATTCTGTAACTTACCACAAGCAATTCTCTCACCCGCATTGCCAGTGGTCAGGCTAAGTTCAGTTTGACCTGCAGACAAGATCAAAACAGTTCACGGATTATGCTTCAGATTTCTTTATTTGGTCATCCTGGTGGAGGTCACCTACTTGACGTGCAAAGACAAAGGGTAGGCTTATAATTAATCAAAGGGAAACATACATTTCAAAGATCGATACTTCCAGCACATTAAATAATCTCATGGTTTAAGATTCAAGTAAAGTTAGTTATATAAATGTGAAGAAAATGGATGTCTACACGTACAAAGTGAAAAAGGCAAAGAACCCCAAAAGGATATCACTGAATTCGAAGAAGATCCTATTAATAAGTTACAATCTGTGGGATTCTTTCTGGAAATATAGCTATGAATATTTATAATATAATATTACCCCTGCCAAGATCATCGGGATCGGCGTGGACAACAATAGATCTTCCAAGAACGGAATTCGGTCCAACAAGGGAAATCTGCATAACATAGAAAGCCATGATGCTCACTAGCTGAGACTTCTAGTAGAGATGGCGAAACATCCAAATAAAAATGAAATTGTCCAAACCTGTTTGTCAATAATAGAGAAAGTAGCAGTACCTGTATAATAGACAGTAACAATCTTTACAATCATGTCAAATTAATCCTAAACAAGGAAAAGAAAGAGTGCTTTAACATGAAATTCATGATTTTTATTCTAATATTGTCATCAATAGGAGATGGGGAGGAAGCTGGATTCATGAGGGGTAACAACCCAAGCCCACCGCTAACCGATATTGTTGTCTTTGGGCTCTCCCTTCGGAGATTTCCCTCAAGGATTTTAAAATGCGTCTACTAGGGAGAGAAATTTCTACACCCTTATAAAGAATGTTTTGTTCTCCTCCCCAACCGACGTGGAATCTCACATTAAGAATCCTGTGGAATCTCACATTAAGAATCCAAGGTCATGCATTTTGGAGGGGCTAATCATTTGGGGACCAGTTTACTAAAAAAATTCAGGGAGAATGAAATGAAATATGGAACCGTACTAAACACACCGTCATCGCCAGCAACCAAATTTCCTAGATCACCAACATGACGATTCTCATCATCAGGTGCACCATGATCTTTGCCTTCAGGGTTGAAATGAGGCCCTGCGAGCAATTTGCTTGCAAGTAGAGTCATAATGTGCCAATAGTTCCAATGGACCCTCCGTAATTAACATTGAGGAACTAAAAGGGTGTTACTCATGAGAACGTACCAGTCGATGAGCAACCATTGGTAGTGTCCCCAAGGGCATGAACATGGAAACCATGAAGCCCTGGAATAAGGCCAGAAATATTTCCTCTAACTGTAGTTGGACCTGAAAAATATACTAACTATGAAAAAAAAAAAAAAAAAAATCTGTATGAATTAAAATTTCCAACTACGATTTGAGCTACCATTGCCATTTTGGTTAAAGAAGACGGTTCCCTTCACTCCCTGATTGCTCTCGAGAACAGCAACAGCTTTCACCATTGTTTTGCGTTAACTGAACTTAAACCCAATGAAGGTTATCAGAAGAGCTAAAATAACTGGTAAAATTGGATGCTAATCAATAAAGTAAACCAAGGAAATTTCACTTTTGAACATATTCTTCATGGTGATAGTCAACGAACAATGAGAATTCACTAAAGCAAAAATCTGAAAGACACAAAAAATCATCCCAGTGACCAAATTTTGGGGACAAGATCAATGCTAATCTTCAACATCTTAAAGCAGTTCAAGTTGTAGTCAGCCAGGTTGGTGAAGAACTCATCAGTTTAGTTTCGTTCTCCTCCCCAACTAAGGTAGGATCTCACAATCCACCCCACCACCCCTTCAGGGTCAGCGTCCTCACTGACACTCATTCTCTTCTCAAATCAATGTGAACCCCTCAACCCACCCCTTTGGGGCCCAACGTCTTTATTGGCACACCATTTCGTGTCCACCCCCTTCGGGGCTCAGTCTCCTCGTTGACATCGCCCAATGTCTGGCTCTGATACCATTTATAACCGTCCAAGCCCACCGCTAGCAAATATTGTTCTCTTTGGGCTTTCCCTTTCGAGCTTACCCTCAAGGTTTTTAAAAAACGTCTACTGGGGAGAAGTTTTCACACCTTTATAAAGAATGTTTGGTTCTCCTTCCTCCCCAACCGATGTGGGATCTCACAGGTTCTTTATCTATGTTCTTTATCTATATGTAGCTTTTAATTTTTTTTCATTCAATTTCAAAACTCATACCTTTTGGCAAACAATTCTAGAACTGCTGACCATCCTCGTTTATGTAGTCTAAAAAATTTCTTACTTCCAAAATTCATAAGCTCATTTCCAAGTAGTGAGCTGCTTTTGTACCAGAAATAGGTAACTTAGAAATTAAAATGATATCAAACACAGCCATCAGAACCATATAAATCTCAGCGAAGAGTTATAACACGTAACAACCATATGAAACTGGAAAGTAATAAAGCATAAACAACGCAATCCCTAAATCTTCAATACGCAATTATAAAAAAAGAAAAAAGTCGAAAACAGAATTCAAACAAAAATCAGATACAACAATTTAGCTTCACCACAGAATTCGATAATCCGGCAAAAAAAAAGAGAGAGAAAAGAACACTGAAATTACAGAAGAAATGGGAGAGAATCATTACCAAGGATGAGCCTTCAGTGCAGTGGAAAGAGACGTTAAAGAGCACTGAAGTGGCGCGAGATTTGTATGCATGGAGGAGGCTGGAGGAGTCGGTAGCGAACATACAAGAAGCGAGGGATGAAATCGTCGTTGCGAATCCATAAGACACCACGTGTGGACTACCGTTTTAAGGCAAATCGAGATTCAGAGACTACATTCTAATTTATTTATTTATTATTTATTTCAACTAAATTAATAAAAATACAAATAATTTTGCTGAAAAATTATAATATTTTATCAAAGAAATCTTTTTTTAATAATTTCAAAATTACCATAAAAGTTTTAAGAATATTTTGAAGATTCTATTTGAGACCTATCATTTATCTTCAAATTTTTTAGTGTTCTTTTTAAAAGCTCATGAGTATTTTTAATCGTGTAGTAGTACTTAACTTACTAACTGTCACAGTCATACATTTTCGACCGCGCATTGTGATCTTGACACACTCATGACAATTCTTAAGGGAGACTCAAACCCCATTCACATTTATCGCCCCACTTTATAGCTTCATCAGACCTTCGGCGAGGTTTTGCTTTCGCCAACCGAATACACCTTATGCAAAATCTACAAACTTGTTCAGCCACACATGCTATTCGTGCGTGCATGGTCAATCGTCTGCGACGCCACAACTTCAGATCTCATTGTCATCTCGGTTCCCGACAACACAATCCATACATCGTGATGTCATCTCATGTCTTGGTACACATCGGTCCTCTTAACTTACTCAAAGATTGAGAACTGACTCATGTGTTGATCATCTTATAGGGATGAATTGGAAGGAAAACTATTGTGGGCATTAAAATTTCTAACTCTAACCAAAAAAAAAAAAAAAAAAAAAATTGCACTGAAACGATGCATTATAATTATATGAACGATGATTTTATAGATATACATTGGGTCATGAAAGAAATTTAATAGCATATATATATATATACATATATACAATACAAAACACCAATGGTGACCCTCAACAATATGATTATGATGAAAGAAGAAGGTTGGCACTCATAAGCCCTAAAACTTGAGAAACTTGCATAAACGTGATGTGAAATAGACCTATTTCGCTGATATTCAATTAAATTCGAACACAATCCTATACGATGAAAATCATTCCAAAATCCAAATCCAAATCAAAGTAGGATATCTCAAATTTTAGACTTATTCGAACAACCGAACAAAGAAAGAAGAACACGCGCAAGTTTCCAAACCTTGGTCGCAATCAGATCATCTGTTGCAATCAACTCACGAACAACTCTTCATGCTCAGCCACGTTGAAGCTCCGCGAAAACAAAAATTTCCCTCATGGGTAATTTGCATTGCAGTATTATACAGAATTCTATCCCACTCCAAAAAGAGGATTAGCCACCACTCCAAAAAGTAGATTAGCCACCACTCCAAAAAGTAGAGGTCTGGAAATCGAAGAAAAGTTCGTGGAAAACAAAAATTCCCCTCAGGTCAATCTCAGGTCTAGAAATTGAAGAAAAGTTAGCGAAATGGAAAGAGTCCAATGCACGCGAGCATGGGGGCCATTGAGAAGACGATGGTAAGAAATATAATACGAATTTTGTATCTAATTTTCGATGTGCCACGGTTTATGGTTGTGAACAGGTTAATTGTTCTTTAATGATTCTCAATTTTCATTTCAGTCCCAAGCATACTTTATTTTCAATCCCCTCCCCCTCGTTAATAATTAACTCACATACTTAATAGTAATTTCAATTTCAAGATAAAACTCAAACCTCATAGCTTTGGGTTTTCTCTTACTTATAATAAAGTCATGGCCGTTCTTAGTTTGTTAGTTAGCGATGTGAAAGTAAAGATATCTTAAAGAGAGAAGATTGGGAAACAAAAGGTGGTATCATTATTTTACGACCTAATACTACGTTGAGTAGCAGTGTGACAGTAGTAGTGCGAGTAAAAGAAACAGAATGGGCAAGAAAAAAAAAAAAACAAGGTAAGATGCTGAAAGGGAGTGGGATTTTTAAGCACTCCCCTTTTTGAGGATCAGAACTTCGACCATATCTGCAGCCTCTTGGACGGTTGTGATGCTCTGCGCACTCTCCTCTTCCACGCTTATCCCAAATTCTTCCTCGAGCTCCATTACGATCTCAACCTGATCACCCCACACGCACATATACATATACATACATTGCATTGCTGTGTTAAATATAGTATCAAAAACATTATAATAATATGAGCCCATTGTCTCTTGTCAGAGTAGAAGTTCACCGTGTCGAGAGAATCAGCTCCAAGCGTTGAAAATTTGGACTCGCCATTGACAGTGGAGTCATCTGCCAATGCCAATTGCTTCTTCACTATTCTGCTCACCTTTTCAACTGTCTCTGGTTTCGCCTGTCCATACCCCAATTAATACCACTAAAACAACAGTAATTGGCGTTGTATGGGTACTAGTTGGGCTGCACTCTATTCTTGCAGCCCGGACACGTGGCCTAACCTATGATGCTACGTGTACGTGATTGATTTTTTCAGTAGTTTTTTGGTTTTATTTCTTACTCAAGGAAAGAAATGTTATGTTTATATTTTAACATTTTAACATTTTTTTTTCTTCACAAAATCTTTGAAAATTTAAATTTCAAACATGTTTCTTTCTCACAGGGTTATTTTAAAACTTTCAATTTTCAATCGATTAGTTGAAAATAAATGGTACTTTGAAGATGAAAAAAATAAAATTAAAAAATGAGATTTATATTGTCAGATTTTATTTAAAAACTTAATATTTTGGATAATATATCGTATTTCTCAAATTATTATTTCTAACCCTCAATTTTAATTGATTAGTTGAAATTAAGTGGTGCTGTGTGGATAAAAAAGTAATAAATAAATAACTAGGATAAAATTAAAATTAAATTGATTGAAATGTGTTTCTCAATTTTCAATTGATTAATTGAAATGAATGGTGTATATATATATTTAAAAAAAAAATTAAAAGGAAAAATATTATAAAATTAAAAAATGAAATTGATATTATCGAAGAACTTGTAAAAAGAATATTCTTTAAAAGAAAAGGTGGGTGAAGCCCAATAGCACCAAAGTTTTACTCAAAGAGCAGTAAAAGGACTTACAGCACATGAAATTTGAAGCGACCGTAATCTTCTAGAAGAGAAGTTATTTCTCCCTTGGTAAGAAAATGAAACCCTCTTCGAACCAGAAAGCTTGGATACTGCCTGCTTACCAAGAAACAATTTCTTTGCAGAGAATACTAGCTCAAGTTCTTAGCAGAGAAAGAGAAATCAAAGAGAACAATAGATCGATTATAATCGACACACACATGCAGTGATGCAGAAAAATTTTCAGGATCGCTCGTAATTTACGGTTTGCATTTGCGCTTAGAATTTTTCAAGACAAAAAATACGAGAGAAAATTAAGGTCTGTTGCGATTTTTTTTTCAACTCAACAGGCTATTTTCACAGAACATTTTTGAAAGAGAGAGGAGCTGATAGTTTGAAAACTATTCTCTTCAGCCCTCTGTCCCCAAATAGCGTGAAAATTAGGCAAGAAATTCAAATCAGCAGTGAAATTACACAAATGAAAGTAAAACAACACCATAAAGAGATATAAAACATTCTGAAATCAAAGATAATGCCAAGTCCATCATCCATACGTTTCACAACCAAGCAATACAAACACAATACCGATTCAAACAAATGCTCCAAGCATCGTAATTAACGACATTGAAACAGAAATGGACGCCAAAATCCAGATCAAGAGGTAGGAATTAAGAAGATCAGTTTCGAAGCAATTGATTACACAAAAACAACGAGACATGGCAAATACGAAAACGTACAACGGATCCATAAATGCACGCATGAGGAAGAGAGAAGGATTGAAAACTTACAGCGATTTGGCGCGATTGAGGAACTGCAGATCGCACGCAAAACGATGAAGCTGAGATCGAAGCCATTGATGAACTGATAGAGAAAAAGGGAGAGAGAATTTGGACTGGCGAAAACTAGAAATGGGACGGAGAAGACGAAGCGAGTAAGTACGTGGCCGATGCTAGAGCTTAAATAGGCAGTTCGTTTGTATATCTCATTTATTTATTTATTTATTTTTAGAATAAAATAATACGTTATTAAGTTAATAAAAATATACTTCCAACTGTAATTTGTTGAAAAAAAATATTATTACAAGTTTCAAATTTTAAATAATATCTTTAAAAAAAATAAAAAAGAATTTCAAAATATCTTTAAATTTAAATTTAAATTTAATTTAATAATAATAATAATAATAATAATACTCTGAATAACAGGGAACAATAGGGACAACATTGGGAATCGGAAAATCCAAAGGAGCTCTCTCATGGGCCTTGTTTATGGGCCTCAAAAGTTTTGGGCTGGTTTAAAATTGTAGTTTAATTACAAAGATAATTAAATAAGTTAATTAGAATATTAATAATTTATTAATAATAAATTACATTAAATAGTTAAAAATAATGTAAATTATTAATTATAAACGGTATTAACTGAAACTTATTAGTCTCAATAATATAGGGATATTTAATAATATTTAATATAATGATTAATAATTATTTAATTATGTAATATTTTTAGGTTCTAAAATCTCTTCGATATCAAGAGTTTTAGAAATTCAGTCTCATTATGAAGGGTAGTTTTCTCACAATATGATTATTATACTATATAACAACTCAAACCTACCGCTACCAGATATTGTGTAGTTTATCTCATTAAATATCACCGTCAGCCTCACGATTTTAAAATACGTGAAACTGACAACAATACGTAATGGGTCAAAATGGACAATATCTACTAGTGGTGAGCTTGAACCATTAATATTTGGACGGAAATAATCTAGTGACACTTTATAGATTATCTCGAAACTTTTTATTGTTACTTTTGAAAATTCATGAATATTTTTTAAATGTGGTACCGACCATAAGAGTATTTTTTAAAGTTTTGAAATTTTTTCACCAAGTGATTCTAAAGTTTTTAAAAATGTTCGAGAATATTAAAGAAATTTTGAAAACTCAACCGAATTTTTTAAATAAAATTATTTTTATTAATTTAACCTAATTATTTATATAAAATATTAAAAAGTTAAAATATTGTCACAACCATGGAAGGTTATATATGGTAAAAATTAATGGGTATTTAAAATTATTAAATAAATAATAATAAATATTGTTAAAATTACATTCATAATTGATATTTTCCCCAATTGGACAATTTGTTACTCATCAATTGATATTTTGAATTGAATTAAATTTTAAATTATTTTATAATAATTAATATTAGTATTTCTGGAAAGTAAATAGTTTGTGGCTAAAAGAGTGGGAATTAAGGAAGGTTGAAAAAAGGCTTGGCATTATCTTATTATTTATTTATTTATTACCAAATTATTCACTAATTTTCTCAAAATAAATGCCCATTAATTAAAGTGGATTTTATTAGTCTCACCCACCTCTCTCTCTCTCTCTCTCTCTCTCTCTCTACCTCCCTTCTTTATAGGGTTTCCTTCTATTCCAACCTTTCTTAAATTCTCAACCAACTCCTTTGTTTGGTATACATACATACTATAATATATATATATATTTGAAAATGATGTTTTCTAATTAAAATTTTAATTCGAACACACGATATAATTACGTAGGGCGTGAGATCTCACATCAGTTTGAGAGTGGTCTTGTAAGGGTGTGGAAACTTCTCTCTAGTAGATGTGTTTTAAAACCGTGAGACTGACGACGATATGTAACAGACTAAAGCCAACAATATCTACTAGTGTTGGACTTGGGCTGTTACAAATAGTATCAGAACCATATACGGGGCGATGTGCTAGCGAGAACGCTGAACCCTAAATGAGTGGATTGTGAGATTTTACATCTATTGGAAATAGGCTTGATAAGGGTGTGGAAACATGTCCTAATAGATTTTACATCTATTGGAACCCTAAAGGGGTGGACTGTTATAAATGGTATCAAAATCAGACATCGGACCGTGTACTAGTGAGGATCTTGGGCCCCTAGGGATGAGATTGTGAGATCCTCTCGAACTCGACCCATATACACCTCTACAACTAGTTAAGATATTTATAAATTTAATGCTTGAGTTTTGGTGTTGGTATTTAAAATGTTATATTTTTAAAAATAGTATTTTATTTGTTACATTTATGAAAATTTATATAGTTAAAATATTGACATAAATTTAATTTTATTAGTTACTATATGATGAGATTAATAAAACTATATAGTAAAAATAATTTCCAAATAATTGTATTTTTGCTTTAATTAATTATGAGGTCATCAAAAGTTCACCAAATAAATAAATAAATAAAATAAAATAAAATAAAGTGTAAATGATATCATGAGGTTGGGTGGGACCCAATATTTGATGATGATAATCACAAGGTTTCAATTTAAAAATTTATTTACCTTTTTGTCCCTAAGATTTCATCTCAAAAGACAAAAGCTAATTCAATCAGATCTTAAATTCATGAAATCCAATGCTTCATTTTCAACCTTTTTGCCCCTTTTCCTTTTCTACCCTTTTCATTATTAAATCACCTTTTAAATATTTCAAACTTTCGATTAAATCAGTCTCGTACTTTCAAAACGTCAATTTCAATCAATTTTCGATACATAAAGTGCAACAACAACAGAAGATTACTGCTAACAGATATTGTTACGTATCGTCTTCAGTCTCACGGTTTTTAAAATCAGTATCTTAAGACTACGACTAGTAAATATTATCCACTTTGACCTGTTTTATACATTGCCATCAGTCTCATAATTTTAAAACGCGTTTATTATGGAGAGATTTCCACACCCTTAAAAAGAATGTTCCGTTTTCCTCTCATGTGGAATCTTAACATGAAGAGCTCACTTTTACCACTTTTAATTAAGATATTAATGAAATGGCTGAACATAGAGCCGACTACTAACGTTGACTTACGTACTATAAATAATATTAAAATATTATATTTGAGTCGATATTTTAAGTTTCATTTTATTTTTATTTTAGTCATGATATTTCTTAATAAATCTTAAAAATGGGTTATATTATTAATATATTTTTGATTAAAATAATTAGACTTTATTATCATTTACTTTTTAAATTTGAAAATATATTCCCACCCTTTTAATTAATATAATTATAAAATTTGATTTTTCCCTTAAAAAAAATTTAATAATAAAATATAAAAAAAATATAATTTTTGTTTTGGTAAAATTATTATTATTATTTACATAAATTAGAGAATTATAAAATTTGACTAAAATTGGATTTAAAAAGTAAAAAGTATTAAAAAAAAGGACAAAAGGTATAATTTAAGTAAAATATTATAAAATTGAGAAAATTCCGTGGAATTATACCATAAAAATAATAATGCGAAAAAGCCTCGAAATTGTAGCCGAAGTCTGTTAAATTATTTGAAAAAAAATAAAAAATAAAAAATAAAAAATGTTCAAACGGGAATTGGATTCTGCCGCACCGGCACAAGGCTAAGATCACAGCACAGCCGGTACAACTAACACCATTTCTCTCTCTCTCTCTCTCTCTCTACTTTGCTTTCACTGAGCAGTCTTCCAGGGTTTCTCTCTCTTTCGCTTCCTATGGAATTGTAAATTCCACCAAATCTTTGGACTCTATTACGATTTCTGGTTTCCAGTGGGTTTTATTTATTCAAAGCGGATTTTTCACGCCCAAGTTTCAATTCGTCTACAATTCTGTTTGTGTCTTTGTGTTCTCTTACAGGTTCTTCTCCTACGGGACGGGTGAGTTCTTTTTTAAATTCTTTTCTGCCTTTTTTTGTTTGTCGTGTGAGTTGAAGAATCTTCTTGTTTGACTGTATTGTTGTGTTTTGTTGTTCGAGAGCTTTGTCGGTGTGTAATTTTGCTGAATTTCTGCTGGTTTTTTTTATTTTTTTGTTTAGTTTTGGAATTGAGTGTGGTTTTGGTGTTTGTTTGATCGGAGGTTGGTGTTTTTTGTGTTTTGAGTTTGGAAATGGGACGGAATTTGTAATAGGATTTGTGTATAGAGCGACTCTGTTCGTTGGCTGACGAATTGTTGTTCGAGACGTGTTTGTTTTGAACGATCTGTTTCGGAATAAGCTCAGCGATGCGTCGCTGATCCTCACCGGAAATGGGTTTGGTTTGACTTTCTTGTGGTTGACTGATTGATACAAAATGGAACCCAGATTTTTGTTTAGAAAATTGGGCAATGGGACATTACTTTTATTTCCTGTTAGCTAAGAACAGGGTGGATGGGAAGCACGTGGTCATTAACTTTTATGATCTGTAACTTTGAGATTTATTGTTTCTTTCTTTCTTTTTCCTATGTTCTTTCCTTCAATTTGCTTCTTAATCAAATTCAAATTGTTGGTCAACGATTATGAGAAATTAACTTTTCTGAGTGCAGAATCATTGTTACCCAAGCTTTGGATGCAGCAGAAGAATTGCTTTTGAATTTGGTGTATTGTGACGAAGAGATATGAGTACGAAACTCTTGCATATTCAGCCCAAGGAATTACAATTCATATGTAAGTGCATCATTAGTAATACTTGTTATTGCTTGCTTATTGAAAAAGAATTGAAGTAAAGTACCTTGCTGTTTTCAGTTGAATTGAGGAAACAAAGTACGTGCACAGTTCAACTAGCCAATAACACTCATCATCACGTTGCGTTTAAAGTATGAACAGCCTTCTTTTCATTTTATTCATCTCTTGTTTGTCTGATAATTCTTGTGATTTCTCATGTGATATATGTAATAATATTGTAATGTTTGGCAGGTTAAAACTACATCACCTAAGAAATATTGTGTTCGACCAAATGTTGGAATAATTTTGCCAAAATCAACATATGAATTTTCAGGTACGTTCTTCATAAGTCTCAACTAAAACATTTAGGCACGAGAAAGGAGAGTTTATAGATTTTGGTAATGAAGTTACTGTGTCACCATTCAAGTTTCAACGAATTTTGTATTACTTTACAATGTGTTTTCTTTTGTCGAATCAATTATGAGGGATATCAAGCCTTCTTGAAAATTTTTGAAAGGCAATTTGGAAACATACACCATTCAGTGTTTTGTGGATAAAAAACTCTTAAGAATGTCTAGTATCATGAGATGATCCTGTCCTGGATTTAACAAATATGTCTCCCATGAAGTTTTAGGGTATATAGTCTTATGAGGTTAACCGTCTTACCCTATTACATGTTTCTTATTTTAAAAAAGGAAAATTCTAAATCTGGAACTATCTATGGTTGTTGTTGTTGTTTTAAAGTTAATTTCTTCTGTGATTATGATGTAGTTATAATGCAAGCTCAACGGGCTGCTCCACCTGATATGTTGTGTAGAGACAAGTTTTTAATTCAAAGCACAATTGTTCCTTCAGGGATGACAGAAGAGGACATCACTGCAAGTATGGTAAGTTCTTATGGATACAATCAGCTTTCATTCTTTAGGTTTTTAAATGTTCTCTCTTTTTTCAGTTTTTAAAAGATGGAGGTAAATATATTGAAGAGGATAAGCTCAAAGTGGCTCTCATTAGTCCGCTGAATTCCCCATTACTCTCGCCTACTGATGATGGAGCATTGGGCGCAAGCATGGATGAAGTTATGAAACTTAACGAGCATAGTGGACCATTAAGAGATGGGATAGCCACCAATAAAACTCCAAAGCTGAAAGATCAAAATGGTTCATCGGATGAGGTACGTTCCTCTGGGGTTTCGTCACTAAGAGATCAAAATGGACAATCAAATGAGGGGATGACCGATGAGGCTTCAAGATTCAAAGATGATTTTGTTGCATTGAAGGGGGTGCGGACCATTGAAGCTTTAAAACCATCTGATAAAAATGGAGCATTGAGGAAGGAGGTTCTGCCTCATGAGACTTCAAGACTGATGGATCAAAATGGAACATCAAAGGAGGAGCTACCTCATGAAGCATTAAAACTGAGCGATCAAAATGGAGCATTAAAGGAGGAGGAGTTGAGTGTTGAAGTCCCCAAAAAAAGAGTTCAAAATGGAGCACTGGACTGGCGAGCATATGAAACTTCAAATGTTGAGAATCTACCACCAACCGTTGTTGATGTTCAACCTCCACCATTTGAAAGAATAGTAAGGAAGAACTTTCTTTTCTGTATAGAGTTCAATTTTTTGTTCTCCCTCTCTCTCTCTCTCAAAAAATGCTCCTAAGGGATCGCATCAACATTTTCCTTATTAAATTTGATGTTATCCTGCCTAATTGTTGTTGGTCTATGAATCTGTTGGTGGTCTCTTTGTAACCTCTTCCATATTCTCTAGGGAGGGTGCCTTATCTTCCTTTTTTTTCCAATACAAAGTGTTTCTTTTCTTAAAAAAATGAAATTTTCGTAGCAGGAAATTGTATAGCAATCTGTTTACTTGGACTGTGTCATGACTTGGTCATTGTTCAATCTGATTGGTGTCATTATCAATTGATACGTTCTGATTTTCAGTTTCTTGACAATTGAAGTTTTTCTCTTGTGCATCAGTTTCCTGAGGGGGGGCTAGCATATAAAGCTTCACATGTGGAGGATCTAGTACCAGAAACTGTCGCAATTCGCCCTCCAGATTTTAGTTTAAAAGTAAGGAAAAACATTTTTTCTATATCAATTTTTTTCCTCGCTCTCTCTTACAAAAAAAAAAAAAAAAAAAAAAAAAAAAAAAAAAAAAAAAAAAAAAAAAAAAAAAAAAAAAA